CTTTATCGTGCCAACGTTTCGATCTTTATTGAGATCATCTTCAGAACCTGGGATTTCTAAACATTTTTTAAATTTTACAAAACATGTAGGATGTGAAAAAGTGAATTTATACAACCTAAAAAATTTTTAGATTAAAAAAATGATTTTATACAATGCTATAAATTTTTTTAAAAATCTGTTAATCTTTTGAGGTCTACCTGTACTTTGTTCGTTTACTATCATTTTAGTCTATCATTTTTTAAATCTGTTAGACACGTTTAAGCTTCTCGACATCTTCAAGGCTGAGTACAGCGAGAATGGCCTGACCAAAATTATTGGAAACGACCGAAGTATAGTAACATTTGCCGGCGGTTTGATCGTTCTTCGTCAAATGAATCTTTAGTTCAAAGAAATTAAGTGAAAAAAATCTTTATTATCATTGCAGAACCAATAAAAAGTGCAACTAACTCCGTGATTTCTCGTCGAAAAGGGAATTTGCGCTGTAGCTGTGATCATTTTGACCCAGGAGATAGCCAAATCGGAAAATCCTCGTAGCCATGGGTTCCAAAAAGTGGGAAAACTCGTGTTTTCGATAAGTAGAAGGCCGACCGAAAAATTTATTCGAGGGCATTGAGCCTGACGAAACCACCCTTTCGACACAGCAAGCTCCTTTTCGACCTTGGTCCTTTTGGCCTGAAGAACGAGCTTCGCCCCGGCGATAGTATTGGGCTTTCAACTTTCAATGGCCATGATATATTTTCTTAAAACCTATACAAATAATCAAATTTATATGATTAAATTCTCAACTTCGTGTAATTTTCAAAATAAAATGGGGCCGATCGACGAAACTGAATATTGACTTGAAGGCAGAGAACAATTTTTCAGTAGTTCCTTAATAAAAGTCAAAAAAGCATTTTGACAAAGATGTCGAGACAATTTGTTATTTAAAGTGCTATATTGACAGGTTTTAGGATACTTAAATAATACTTAATTTTTATAATAAACCTTGATAAAAAGTGAATATTAATAGTGTGTAACCATTTTTCATAATCGTAATTACTACGCAATAAACAATTAAGTGGGTGTAGTGCAATTCTTTCGACAATGACCGTGAACTGTGGTGGGAAATTTTCGCACCGACCGTCATTTGAAACCGCTTCAGACCGACAAGTGAAAGACGCTCTACCTAATCAATTTTTCAGCCCATCAAATTTTCCCGTACCGAAATAACAAATCAAGAAGGATTTACCCTGTTTTTTATGGAGTTAGAAAGGAAAGTTAATGTTTTAGTAAAGTTTTTTCCGATGACATCATGTTTGGGTGAGGTCGTGTCTGTTTCGAGATTCATTTTTTAAACGAATTATCCCGTTTATTACTTAATATTATTGGCTCAAAATGGTCCTATTTGTCAACGTCAGCGTGTGGTATTTTACAAAAAAAAAAAAAAAAAAAACGTTTAAAATTGTCTTTAACATATTTTTCACTATTCTTTTATCTTTCCTATCGTTTCTCTTTTTCCTAGCAGTAAACAGTGAAAATAAGTTGGAATGTTCTATCTTGCCAGCTCTAAAGAATCAAACCAATATTTCAGATAGTATTTTATTCAAATACCCGTACTCTGAGTGATTTAAATTAACTGTCAATCCTACTCTTTGTACTTACCATGGAATGCACTCTCCTTTAGGAATTTGAGCACTTTACTTCGCTAATTTCTGTAGGCTTTATTGCCTTTTTCAAAGTGGTACGTTTTACCCATTGTACGGTTGCTTTCAGATTGAAATCTGTTTACTTATGTGAGGCTCAATCGACCTCCATGGAATCAGTCATCCTGGGTTTCATAAAGAAAGCTTTCTTTAAAAAATGTATTTATTATATATTAAAAAACATACGGGTAAGTGCCCAATTACAATATTACAATAAACACACACACACACACACACACACATATATATATAAAATTAATTTTTTTAAAACTCAAAATTTTTGATTAGGTTTACATTAAAATCAGTATGTTGCAATTAGCGATATACAGATACTTATGTATTTCTTAACATGATATATAAATATAAATAATTTGAAATAAATAACAAAATACGAGTGTCAGGTTTTTTTGTCTTGGAGTGCATAATAAGAAATTGTTTACAATTTTTCCATTTGAAGAATATGTTTCTTATCGCACGTATGTCACTATTAAACAAATCAATAGTATAATGCTTATTACCAATAGAAAAGTTCCAGAAATGTCAAAATGAAATAATTAAATGTGTTTTATGAGTTTGTACTGAAAAAGGATAAAATAGAGAATTACGAGTGATGCGAGTGGTAAGGTTGAAGGAAATGAAACTTAAAAATTGAGAAGTGTTGAATTGGATGGATAAATAAAAGAAAAGTAAATTTTGTAAATTGTTTTTTTCTCTTCTATTAATATGTTTATGTACAACATATGTAAAGGAAGTAAATTTTGGAACTAAATGCATGTACGAAGTAATGATTGATTAAGTGTATCATACAAAAATCTATGGAAGGGACTGTCGGGATTGTTTGTTGAGTACTCTCTCAGGTTTTGTACAAAGAAAGAGAATGAGAGAGAGAGAGAGAGAGAGAAAGGGTGAGCCAAAAAAGAAAGAGTGCTTGTTAGTTTGTTGTGTGTGTATTTGCTTATTATATTGTAAGCGAGTTTGTATGTTTTATCGTCTTGTGTGTATTTATTGGTTTTACGAATGTGTTTTAATACCCTCCATCTTCACACACAATATATATAAAATATGAAAAGTTATGAATAAAAAAATCAGTTTTGGTGAATTATGGGTTTACTTTGGGTTAAAAAAATACGGCTTAAAACGGAATTTACTGCACTACCATTTATGCAAAAAAAATAGTGTCAATCTTAATTTCAAAAACAACTCATTGATTGTATGTAAAAAAGGTTTCGAATGAAGAATCGAAGTAAAAAAAAATGGATTAATCGTCGTATTTTTAATTTTATTCAAGTATAACACCAAGCAGTAGCTAAGGATTTTTATTCGCCATATAGAAACACATCCANCTTTTAATATATTCAAAATATAAAAAGTTATAATAAAAAAAAATCAGCCTTGGTGAATTATGGGTTTACTTTGGGTTAAAAAAAATACGGCTTAAAACGGAATTTACTGCACTAACTTTTAGTTATGCAAATAAAAAAAAATTACAGCCAATCTTAATTTAGAAAATAAATTATTGATTGTATATAAAAAAAGGTTTCGAATGAAGAATCAAAGTTTAAAATAATGGAAATTTAAAATTTTATTCAAGTGTAACACCAAGAAGTAGCTACGGATTTTTATTCGCCATTTGGATCAGATAGATAAATTTTTCGAAAAAGACATAACTAACAAATTAAAATTATTAGTGGGACTTTTACTACTAATAATATATTTTCATATAAATTCTCTGTCTCTTTAAACAATTGGAAAAGAACGTAGAGTTTTGCTTATTATGTCGAAACGTCTTTTGATTGCCTTCGGGATTGTGTTCTGTCTAATTACAGAGGATATGAAAGAGAAATTATACGATTAACAAAGTTAATTTTTCCCAAAGAATTGTTTTAAAGTAAGTGATTAAAACAATAGACATGGCTGGTGGATTTAAAAAAAAAGAAAGATAATTATACTATTTGATTTATGAACTTTAGGTGATACAAACATGACGTTTCATACATCGACACGACATATTCTTATTATATGCAATAGTATTAGAAGATTCTTCGGTCTCCATTAGCATATGTTATTTAACAACGCATGGGCAATTTACTCTATTAGCGAGCCAATACGAAAAATGAAATCATCACCAATTTTAATATGTTGTGGTGAATATCAGCTTTCACTTTTTAGACCGCTTCGTTTAGCAATGGTTAAACCGTTTGTCATCCGTTTGACTCACGAGGTGTTTGTTTGTTTAATAATCCGCTGATCGTAGAGAAAGCAACTCCGAACGCAGGTGGAAAACGGCTCTCGACTTTCCCAGAGGGTTTTTGAGAAATTGCTCGCACTTAGGGCTTTATTTTAAGCTGGAAACGATAAGTGAAAGTCCATCAACGGTAGAACGCCCCTGAGAAATTTTCCGTCCCGTTGATTTCCATAGTCTACAATGTATTGTTTATTAACAGTTAATATACCCTACATAATACCCAACAAGAGATTAGAAAGTAAAACTACTACTTGGCTGCACTATAACTAATAGGGTGAATCATAAAAAATTACCGATTTCATTTTCTTAGAAATTGTAATTCCATATAGGCTTTATTTGGTTTTCAAACCAATTAGATTTTATACCACTTTGATCCGTCGACTATATTAAATGAATGTGAAATAAAATGATCTCTTGTTGCCTTTAGTTTTGTCGTCGAGTTTGGTTAAACAACATGATGGTAAACTTTGAAATTTTGGTAATATTTCACTATTATTCGAAACGTAAGTTTTCCGCCGCCAAAAAAACCCCTTTGGTGCGGCAATTTGAAGATGACAGTGTGCAGATGGTTCCAGAAAGTTGAAGCCGTTGACATCAGCATCGACAGGGTTCTGGAAGAAAATCATCATTCGATAAGGAAGCTCTGCAAGATTGTTGAGACAGATCCAACAAAAAATACTCGGGAATTGGCGAGAGAGCTTGGACTTTCTCAGTCTACCTTAAATCGTGAACTGCTTAACTTAGGGGAAAGTGAACCGCTCGTTAAGAGTGATACCTCATAAGTTGACCATTGAGCAGGCACGACACCGAGTACAATTTGTCAACATCTTTTGAACAACCCAAATAACCTTCGGTTCATCAAAAGTATAGTTACTTGCGATGGAAAGTGGATATTTTGGAAAAAACCTAAGATGAAGAAACAATTGCTAGACTGCTCTACCAGTCGTTAAACAACAGGAATTTGACAAAAAGATAATGCTCTCTGTATTTTGGAATTACAAATTTATAATTCATTATGAGTTTATTCAAGAAGGTCGAACCATTGATTCAAAAATTTATTATGAGCAGTTACAAAAAATGTTTGATATTTTGACCCAATGTTATCCAGGATTAGTAACTAGAAATCGGGTTTTGATTCAAAAAGATAACACCTGATGAAACACTTCTCGTTACCTGAAACAAAACATTACAGAATTGGATGGAATTGTGCTTCTCCCTCACTCTGCTTACAGACCAGACTTAGCATCTTCCGACTACCATCTGTTCAGGTCCATGGGTCGTTATCTTCAAGGCAAAATTTTTAATTTTCTGGATGAGGTTCAAAATAGAGCTCTTCTTTTGAGAGAATTGTTCCATTCAAAATCTAAAGAGTGGTATTGTGAAGGTATTCCACATCTGGCCTCGAGATAGCAACAAACCATAGATCGCAATGCCATATACCTTGAATATCAAACAAAATGTGTAAAAAAATATTTTTAAATTTGCAAGAAAAACGATCATTTTTATGACACACCGTATTATAATAAACAATTTGTTACATGGCTAGAAAAGGAGTTGTTTTAATAATGAACCAATATTTTAAATAAATCCATAAAAAAAATTAAACAAGTAAAACACTCATACACAGAGCATGACCTAATGAATGATTAAATCCAGTCAAATCTGAGGACTTCCTTGAACCATCAGAATCCCCAGTTCATAAGTGGCCTAGTTAATGTCGACTATATCTTGTATACAAATGGTCCCACAACCATGGGTAGTGTTCATATTCATAGACATATTCATATAAGCCTTCGGAACTATGCCACCGCCTTTCAGCAGACACTGTGGCTATTGAATACTGCCTAGGGGATTAAAATTAAGCATCACTTACAGAAGAATAGCCATCTACTTGGACAGCCTGGCGGCACTAAGGGCAATTGCCACATGAATGGTAAAGCCTAGAGAAGTTTGGGATTGCATTAGGGCCCTGTAAGACATTGGGTAAAACAACAAAATTACCCTTATCTGGATACTAGTGCACATAGGACAAAGAAGCAATGAAGAGGCTAATAAACTGGCCATGGAAGGTTGATAAAGAAATTCTATTGGTCCTGAACCCTTTTGTATCATACCAAACTACCGAAAAAAGTGGATCCATCAGATGGATGATAAATAAGACCTTTGTTCAATGGAAATGTAGCCAAGGACCAAGATAAGAGCATTGTAAAACCTAATAGTAACCTAAATCTAGGTCATGTTAATACAAGAATAATAGTTGGACTGTTAACTGGATCTACAGACTCTAGAGACGTATGTATACACTCAGAGTGGCAGAACAACTATGCAGATATTCCTGGGAAGCAGAACATGCCCTTTGTTGGTGTGAAGGCTCATATAGGATAAGATTCCTACTCTTGGTAGAGGAAAACCACAAGAGGATAATAGGTTTTGATATATATGTGAATATTTTTGTTTTTATGAGGTTTCCTCTTGAGATCTGTGGGATGATGAATGAGTAGTTTGGTAATTTTGATCAGCCTATTTTTTGCTGTTTTCATCTATCAGGCTCATTTTGCCTTCTTGCCTCTTCTTTCTTCAATAGTATCACAATTTGACAGACCAAAACAGCGAGGATGATGATTATTAATGCCCACACTACATATTGGATTTTATTTAAGAGGGACTACCCCTGGGTGTCAGGGATGATGGGTCAAAACTACAATAGTTTTGCCAAAATAATCTCAAATAAAATTCAAAGAACCCAATACTGCTACTGTGACAAATATGAGTCACACACCGTAACCACTTGTCACTATTGCACCCCCCACTATTAATAGTAATTGACTACTATAGTTATTATTATAAATTTTTAAATATCTTTGGTTAACCTTTTTTGTGTTTTGTTTTTCAGGTGTTCCATGTTTGTGCATTTACAGATGATGGTATGGTGATGAAGAGTTTCCTCTGTCCTGAGTCGACGCTCTTTGACCAGAGCATCCTTAAATGTAATTGGTGGTTCTATGTTGACTGCAAGTCTTCAAACAAGCTCTACGACAGCAACATACCAATATCGAAGAGCTACCAGCTGATGAAGGCACTTGCCTTCTTCTCGGGATACAAAAACCAGACGAGCACAAATAGTGCTTAATGACAGTACGGCATTGCTCAAATGAATATTCTAATCAAAACTTCAGCGATGGCTATGCAAGGCCATAGGAGAAGGTTGGCTAGTTTTCTATAGACTGAGAGTATAATCCCAAAAAAATTTTCTTTTTCATATTTTTAGCTCAATAATGGGTAAGCTTACATATCAAGTAATTTATATCAAAAAGCTCTCTTGAGATCTTGCTGAGATTGTATTTTAAAATAGTTTTTTTATACTTTAAAATACTTACTAATTATGTGATGTTGAATGATGAAAGTATTTAGTTTTTAAGTTTAGCACTTTTTTACAAGGAGCTTCTGTATAAATGAGTGATGTTATGTGCTCGTCTTGTATTTATTGAATCCTGTAAATAATTTTTTTTTCATGTTAGTATGTCCAATGGACAATATGTTAGAACTCAGGAATAATACAGTTGTAGATAAATAAACTCTGTTTTATTGTAGCATTTGATTATTTCATCTTCCCTCTTGTCTGTAAAAGGCCAAACGGTGAAAAATATTAATCCTACAGGATATAAATACTGTGAAACAAAGGGACTCCTCTGTTCAGGGGACATCTCCGTTTACAGGACAGCCACAGATGTACGATGCAGATGGAAGACTAACTTTTTATGTATTTAAAACCTCTACTTAGGGGACACTCTAAAAGACGTCTACCTACTTACATATCAAAATAAATGCATTTGTAGTAGATTAATTTATTTTTTGTAAATAAATTATTTATCTATCTATTTCTCAGTCAACTGGTGGCAAACTCTTCTACACAGAATCCTCTCCCATACTGCGATGATTCTAATTACTTCTTCGCTAATGTAAGAAAGATAATTCACATTGTGAAAAGCTGAAAATATTGTGTGTTGTGTAATCATTCAAATGTTCATATAAAATTAATATTTTCTTATATAAGAAAATAATTTATTCAACACACACACAAATAATATATTTTTTTAAAGAATCTATTTTTAGATAATGCCATTCTGTCTATTATTCAGTTTAGAAACATCCATATTTGGTACTGCTAGTAAATATTTGGCTTCATTCATTGGCCAAAAGTTCTGGTTTCTTAAAGCGCCTTGTGATGGTAAACTCTGATATGCTATGGGATCGTCCTGTTGGAAATCACTGGAGTTGACAGGAAAAAGATCTTGCGTTGGTGCCAGATTAGCTTGAACCAACACCATCTCCGAAGAAAGTGCGTCGGCACGTTGTTTTGCCGTTAACATTAGTTGGTCGTGTGCTGTGAGCTGAAGCTGCGTAGTGTGAGCTCGCAGGGCAGCTTGTGCAGCAGCTTCCTGGGCATTCTGCAATTCCATGCTCAGCGTCCTTACATCGTCAGTCGCTTTTTCTAAAGCTTGTGAAGCTTCTAAAGCTTCTTGCTGTGCTTTCACAACTTCATTCATTTCCATTTTGACCTAGCGGGAAATACACATAATGTATTGTTTTCCTTTTAAATATACTTGAAGTCTATACAGTATTTTCTGCTTGGTATATCTGTTGCAATAATGATTGTAGAGCTGCTTGTTTGTCTAAAGCAATTGAATTATGTTCATATGACTCTGGATACACTTGCCCATTCAGTACAAAATTATCCCCTTGCGCCTGCCGTTTGCCTGATTTGTCTCGATGAAGCCATTTTGAATCCCATGGAGTCTGTTTTTGCAGTGTGAAAAACTCCTTTATAAATAGTAAAATTAGACATAAAAACATTGAATGTACTTACCAGTAAATATGCTGGTTGAATATTTTCACTTGACCAAGCACCAGTAATTAAATCTTTGAATATAAAATAGTTTTATAAATTTTTCAAATTTTTTTGGAATTAAAATAACTTAAGTAAAAATTCTATTAAACATTTTTTTATTTATTAAAAATTTAAAAAAGGCACAAGTGATTTTATTGTCTTTATGAATTTTATATTTAAGATTATAAAAGTGGAGAAGTAATTCATTACAATTACACTTTTATCACAATGCAATTCACTTTTCTCACTAGGGACATTAGACGTCTTAAAAGGATTGTAGGGAAGGATTTGGGATGAAAGGTGTTGGACCAGAAGGTTGGAATGAGGCTCCAGGTTTTTAGGAAAATTGGGAATTGAAGATTTGTGTGGAAATAAAGCAATTAGCTTCACTGATTGTTTGAATGCTTTTGAACTGGAGCGAGTGAATTTTTTCGGCGTTGGAACAGTTGGTCGAACCCCATAGTTCAATTCTGTACATTCAGATTGGATGTAGTAATGATGTGTAGATGAGGTATTTGGTTGGTAGTGAAACTTTTGGTCTTTTGCCTTTTGAGTAGTTTGTATCGATCTTTTGAGTTTAGTGTGGTGCTCGAGTAAGTCTTTTGTCAATGTAATAATGTACACATATGTTACATTTCTATTTTTGTGAGATTTCCTGTTGAAGTCTGTGGGGTGAGGAACTTTGCTCATTTCGGTTATTTTAATCTGTAAGGCATGCTTATATTAAACATTTTTTATTTATTAAAAAGTTAAAATAGCGCTAGAGTGCACGTGTAATTTTATTGTCATTATGAATTGTATATTATAAGATTATAAAAGTGGAGAAGTAATTCGTTAATTTCTTTCCTCTTGTTTTCAGTAGTGGGTTTATTACAGTCTGACAGGACAAAAGAGCGAGGATGGTATGGGGAAATGCCAACACTACATTTTTTTTTAATTTTCTCCTGCAGTGTGTGAGGTGATAAACCTCTAATTTGATCCTTACCGATCATCTTCAACCAAAACTGAGTATGGGGTTTTAAGAAAATCTTTTATTGATGTAAAATCCTAAACAGCAGGTGATATTAGTTATTAAGTTCACTAGTTTCGTGGTGCGCTTGACCAATTAATATCTTACAATTATTGGTCGATCCACTCGGACACTAACTTCCCATCTCAACGAGCCGAAGATCGTGGGTTTGAATCCGCTCTGCCATTGACTTTTTATCTCAACTGAAAACCTTAAATAATTGTAAGATATTAACTGGTCAAGCGGACCACGAAACTAGTGAATTTAATAAGTTTAAAATGAAGTATACTTCACTAAAGCTCTCCGTGGCCATTTCATTTGTCGCCGAGAATCAAATTGATTACATGAAATTTGAAAAATGGCAAAAAGGAGGGAAAATTCGAAAGGTGTCGTTGAGATGGGAAGTTAGTGTCCGAGTGGATCGAGGTCACGATAGCTCAAGTGGTAGAGCAGCGGCGTATCAAGCCAAAGATCGTGGGTTCGAATCCCGCTCGTGCCATTGACTTTTTTATCTCAACTGAAAACCTTAAATAATTGTTAGTTATTAAGGGAGGGACAAAGTTGGAGAGAATTTGAGAAAAAATGATATGTTGGAGGGTAACGGAGAGATGATGCTGAAAGTTTCTGATGGCCACTACTAAGTCTATTATAAATGGGTGGTAGTATTGTCTACATATGTGAGAGGTATTGTATCGATTGATAGGAACGACAGTGTATACTGAATAGAGTATAGGGCCAAAGAAGTTGCCTTGTGGAGCCTTTTCTTTGTTATAGTGAACGGGGGGTATTTACTGATTTGTACTTGAAATTATCTATCAGACAGGTAGTATTTTAAGACAAGGTAATAAGTGAATGGAAAGAGCCCTATATTCAAGAATAAAAACATATAGTTGTAGATTGGATCAACAATACTTGAATAATATTAGTAAAGTAAGTAAAATAATTCTTGTTGTATAGGAGGGATTAACATCTAATTGCCCATTGGGTATGGCAAGGGGTCAAATCACTTTACAATACAATTTTTCATACTATAATCAATTAAAAACCATGGGCTCTGCCAGGATTTGTACCCAGAATCGCTAACATGGCAATTTCAGTCAGACAACTTAACCACTTCACACCAACAGCCAAGGCCACCTCAATCCCCTTTTAAACACTAATACTTTATCGGGATTGTTAGGAATGCCTGCCATGTATACTGAATAGAGAAGGGGACTAAAAATGTTGCCTAGCAGAACTCCTGTAGTAGGTGGGTGAAAAGGACCTTTTAAACACAAAATGTTTAACTATGAAATTAAGAAAAACAGATTTTATCTTATTTTAAAGTTAGCACATTATTCGTGTTTCATTCATTCTCATACATTTAATAATACAAAAAAATATCTTGTGTTAAGTGGAAAAAGAGAGAACTTGCCAATGTTTTTATTAGGATCATTGCTTCAACAAGTTATCAATTATTCATGATTTATATCATCAATTATTTATATTTTTCAATTTCTCAAATTTTGATATGATACTGTTCTCTCTAAATGCACTCATAATTCATGAAAAACACATCTGTCCCACATAGTACCCATCAGTGCACTTTAAAAAAACTCATATGTTTATTTTGGGAAACAATTGTGAATTCTATAATAAATATTAAACTTTGAGAAGGGCGAGTAATCTATGCTTGTTAAGGGTCAAAAGATGAAAAAGAAATAGTAAAAGGTATACCTGCCATTATGACAAATTCAATGAGCACGACTCTACCAAAATTGTCCGCAATTTGGTTTTTGATAAAATCACTAGTAGTACATCGCATCCCACCTAGATCTGAGATGTAACTTTACGTATATCTAAACTGAAATGTTCAATAAACAGATGTACCCACATCTGGCTGAAGTGACTATTTTAAAAATATTTGTTGAAGCTTATTTTTCTTTAGAGCTTTCGATGAATTTATTCCAGACTGGCTGCTGTAATGAAGGGTCAATGTAGGCATTTTAAAATTATGAATAACTATTTTAATTTTTATTTTATCTTATTGTAAAGTCTAAAGGAAGTCCTATCGTTTATAATTGGTATGAAAAAATTCTGTTTTCCAAGAGCTTATATGGCAAAAACACTTTTTATACAAAAATATGAATAGTTAATGGATATTCTCCATAATTTAAGACACTTTTTAATCCTAAATTCAATATTTGTGCTGCAAGTCTTACATAAATCTTATGTACTTCAATAGTTAGCATTATAATGCAAGTGTTTAACATTATTTTATAAAAAACAACAAATTTTTATTGAATTATATGTGCTTGCATTTATACGATGTTCTGGTAGTAATTTATACACGTAGACTCAGCAACTTTTTTTAGTAAATTTAACAATATTCTACATAAAAAGGTATTGCTTATTTATGGTGTTTTATGTAATGAAATGGCCTTGTTTTGAGTGGTAGGATTTGTGGTAACACATACCTTTGTAAATATTCCAATTCTGACAGACAGTTGGAAAATTAAAGTATAAATATGTATTAAAGTAAGTATGCTTGGAAAATTAAACAATAAGAAGAATAGACTAACGCTAGATGGCGTAAGTATCTCCATTTCAAGCAGGTTGAAAACGTAATATGACGGACGGGTAAACATATAAGCTTTTGGTGGGTTTAAGGCAACACAAGAGTAGATGAGCTGGCCAAAGAAGATCTAGAAATAAAGATAGCTCTAGGAAAAATTAACGTGTTAAAAAACAAAAAATATGGACCAAGCTAATAGCTGAGAGCCTAAGGGTGAACTATATAAATATAACTGTGGCAAAGGGATATGCATTTTAATGGTTTATGACACAAGGGATGCTGTCATCGCTTTTTACGCACAATTTGTAGGGAGGACAGGCCTTGCGTTCTGCAATGCGTATTTATTTTTGGGTTGAAAGATTCACCATTTTGTGAAAGATGATTTTCTCTGAAATTTGAAGTACAGAAAAGAAACCTAAGACCAGCTTGTCAGACATAATCATTTAATTGCAATAGTATTTTGAGCTTTAAGGATTATGAAATTTACAAATGTTTATACAAATCTATTTTTTAAAAATCGGCAGATTTGAGCTTATATAAATCACTGATCAGTAATGAACAAGTTTAAATTGTCAACAGTTTTCATTTCGTTTGGGACAGAAAAGATCCGGGTAAATTTTTAGAAAGTGATTTCCATGTCATCAGACTTTAACATTACTTAGTAAAATATGTTATGAGTCATGAATTTTGATGAAAGTTTATTGACAATTAAGGGAACATTTCTTAAGTAAATAATACCGTAATTCGTGTTTTATATGGGATCAAAGGTCAGAGTGAACCCTAGTAAAATAGCAAAATAAGGCAACCCAACAGAATCTGATGTACTTTATGCATCTATTTAAGCGCTAAATATATGTGTATTGTTGCTAAAGGTGTCAATATTAAATTAGATTTAGCATATTAAAAAAAAAACGGGATGATTTATACTATTTGTAAGTTGAATTTACAATTAGATTGAAACATAAAGGTTATTTATCATTTTTGAAATTTCAGTGTTGAAACATTGAATTTCAGTGTTCAACAAACAAAATCCGTTTTTTAGAGTAAGATAAATTTGTTTTTTAAAGTGCCGAGCCGACTTTGGGCTTTTGAATGGTCTCAATTGAGCCGACTTGAGTCTCCGTGGAGAATAGTTGGTTGCTCCGACAATTTAACGGTCAATTAAACCTAGGACAGAGCCAAATGATGTATTATGGATTCCAATTAAGGGATTTATTGTTCGTTTATTTTTACCGACTGTTACGACACTCAGATTAATGACATGTTCACAAGCGACGCCGGTGACTCCTCACTCAAGAAACTGCGTCCGATATCAGTATAAAGTTGTAAATTGATGCTTCAGTCCTGTTTTTTCTGACTGGTTTTCGGAACCTGTGTTGAATCGTAATGATGAGTTTCACCGCAACGTAACCTCTGGTATTAAAATTTGTTTCCTTTTTGAATAACATAAATAAATAAAAAATTAAAGCCTCGTTTTGCCTCAGCTTGAATATTACATATGAACTAACACACGAATATGGAGTGGTAAACTGAAAATTTTAAGGTACCAAAAAAAATTGATTCCACACCATAATTGTTTACTTTTGCGATATGATATGGTAAAGAAAGTATTAAATTTTCAAAAAAAAATTTAAGAAAACAATTAGGCGTTCTGAAAATACAAACCTTAAAACATCTCTATCTATAAGTGACAAATGATTTATCTAGCTTGATCGCCTTGCTTTCTTTTGTTTTCCCTTCAATTTTATTTTTCTATAAAAAGAACATTAATATTAGTCGAAATGTTGGAAAACAAATACATGAAGTAACACGAAACATGGCGAGGTACCTACAACTGCTTATTGGAAGCTCTCATATTCGGGCTAGTGATACATGAAATTCATAGTAGAAATGATAAAGTGAGTGTGGTGTTCAATCCTTTTTAAAAAGATAGTTCCTACTCACAGTAAGTTATTTTGCAACGATCCGGATTTCGAGCCTTTTAGCAATCCTTTTTTAAAAAGGATTGAAATTCATAGTGTAAGAAGAACTTGATAACATGATAGGCCAAGAACGAGGCAAATAATAGCCAAAAGGTCATCAAGCATATAGCAAGGTGTAAGAGAGACTTCGAACATACATACTTGGATATAGGGATTACCACAATGAATTTGCTATTTTCCTACATGAATCATGAGTTTTAATGTTGAGGTTAAAAATTATCCACTTATGATAGTTTGAAAGAAAATTCACCAAAACATACCAAAATTATTTAGTGATAGAATAAATTTCACTAACAATTTATTATCTGGTTTTGCTCTTAATGGCGCATTAAGAGCAAACCAGATAAAAAATAATGTTAATTAAATTTTAATATAAAATATTAATTATTTAATTCAGAGCGGGTGTCAATGAATTTTTTCTCTCTATAACGCCCGTAATGCCACAATCATAAATTGAAATCAAATCTGCTGGTTGTATATAATACATGTACAGTTGTACATAATAATATAAGAAGTAAAAAAAAATGAAATAACAAAAACCGAGAAATGCGACACGATATCACAAATTGTTTTCTGAATTTAATTGTTATTTTATTATTGTTTTTATTATATTGTATCTGTATTCCATTAAAAGTTGAAATGCCTATAAAAATAGTGCGAAATGCATTCTTGTTAAAACAGTAAAATTCAAATACAAATAAGTTTAATAGTTTCTAGGGCAACTTATGTATGCACTATTTTTAAACTACTAGTCTGCTGCCTTGGTGCAACTGTCTGCTGACTTTTTTTGTGTCCTGACCATTTTTTTGTCTTTGTCGGTGTCTGCCAGTTTTTCTACTTTCCTACGTATGGTAGGACGGTGTGCACACCGTTCGCATTGGACACAAGCGAAATTCCCAGAAACAGAAGTCGCCTCTCCGTGCTTATTACCTTGAGGTTGTACCGTTTGGTTCAGGTACTGTCCAGTGAATGGAAAAAACTTACAGCTTGCATTAATGGATAACAAGCACTGGTACTACAAATAAAATCATAAAGCGGCTTCTAAAATAAGACGTAATAGTATGTCTATCTTTCTGTCTGTATATATATAAAATTTAAGCTGACTAACAGCTTATTTTCTCAGTTAACCAGGAGGTTAAACTGTACAGTGCTGTAACACGAAAGCACCTCTGCATATCGTTTCGCGTTGGAAACAAACTAGACTCTTAGGAACGGAAGCTGCCTTTCCCTGCTTATAACCCTGAAGTCGTGCCTCTTATAACTCTGCTTATAACTCTGAGTTTTCTAGTGAATGGGACCTTCTTTTATCATGGCACTTGATTTACGGGATAACAAGGAAAAATCTGTCTTTAATTTTTTACTTTATTTTTACTTCATTAAATTCACTAATTTCGTGGTCCGCTTGACCAATTAAATCATTACAATTAATTAAGGTTTTTAGTTGAGATGAAAATGGCAAAAGTAGGGAAAACTCATAAGATGGGGTTGAGATTGGGAGTTGATGTCCGAGTGGATCGAGGTCACGATAGCTCAGGTGGTAGAGCAGCGGCGTATCTAGCCGAAGGTCGTGGGTTCGAATCCCTCTCGTGCTATTAGCTTTTTTTCATCTCAACTAAAAACCTTAATTAATTGTTTATTACTCTTACTTTTTTTGGTATAGTTATTTTTTGTGTGTGGTGTTTAGTGACCATTAGTCAATGATTATTCGGAGATCGTGAGATGCGGTCTGGTGTGACGTAGGTTTTAGAAAACATTTTCTTTATCGTGCCAACGTTTCGATCTTTATTGAGATCATCTTCAGTGCTCAAAGGGTTTGTTTTCCGTGTAGATGTGTCATTCTTGTCTGTCGTGTTGAGAGTACCAGTGCGATATTATATTATAATTTTTTTATTTATGTTTTTTATACGAGGGTATTTCAACTATGATGTCATATCAACCCTAGGGGGTGCAAGTGATTTTGCCTATCAGACGTATTTGAGCATTTAGCCAGTTCAGCCATTCCCCTGAACTTTTCTCTGTGTTTATGCCCTTTTTTGTGGTTCTAATGGCTGTTGAAATGCCCAAACGCACCTGGCAACGAGATAGACAGGCCAGATTTTCGAAGACGATGAAGATACAGTTTTGTCACTTTACCATAATAGTTTTACTGTTAGCTAAAAAAAATCATGTCTTCTTTACAAGGGCATTTGTGGCATAATCACCGCGATAATTCCGTTACATGAATTATGACCGTCATGAAATGATCCCGAGGGATGGAACGATGACGTTTTGTTCGGGCTGAACCAATATTTCCCGGCGCAGATTCCATAACGAGTAATACAAACAAACGAACGGCGCTATGGGCTACGGTCAATGAGGAACAAAAGATTA